AGCCGTATTTGTATTTGTATATGAAACTGGTTTTTTATACATATTTTGTACAAGCATGAATAAAGAAAATCATCAAAATTATGATCACTGTGATTGACCATGGGTCAATGTGATTGATTCTTTTCATAATATAACAATTTAAGATTTAATATAACCATGTTAAGTGTAAATATTCCATTTATTTTAAAAACAGTTCACGTAATGAATAACATTTCCATATTTTCATTTTGGGATTTACACAATATAATTACAAGGACATTCAACAGCATATAACATGTATGTAGGGGTTCGGTTCCAATTTTGAATTTGATTATTAACATAAATTAGCACACCTAATCAATATTGGAATTTAAAACTTAATTCTTGTGTTCATAATTTGTATATATGTTGCTTTCCATACAAATTTTAATGTGTTTTTTAAGTAACCAATATTAAAATATTTAATTCATCGATGTAAAGTATGAAAATAAACTAATAACTTTATTGATTCGAGCAATTAATATAATCTGTTTTTATTTCCCAAGGTCACCTATTGTTTTTCATAAAATTTTAGGTGATAATTTACACATGTAAAAAATGTAAATAAAAGTAAATGTAAACAGATAAAAAGCTACATTTTCATTAATTAGTCACTATATATAAACATAAGGAGATGTAGTATGATTGCCAATAAAACAACTACCCACCAAAGTGCAAATGAAGTGGATGTAATGTTCAGTTTTTGTTTCTAAATTGAAAATATGCACTAGGCTTAGGATTAATTAGATAATGTTAGTGTTAATTAGACAATGGTATTGCTTTTACAGGGAATGCTATCAAACAGTGCAATGGCACGCTGTTCTTGTTTTATTTCCTAATAACATGTTTATAATTAAAAAAATGAAAAACACATGTATTCACTCAAACAGATAAAAAGCTACAGGGTCTTTAATTAGTCATTATATATAAACATAAGGAGATGTGGTATGATTGCCAATGAAACAACTATCCAGCAAAGTTAAAATGAAGTGGATGTAATGTTCAGTTTTTGTTTGTAAATTGAAAATATGCACTAGGCTTATGATTAATTAGATAATGTTAGTGTTAATTAGACAATGGTATTGCTTTTACAGGGAATGCTATCAAACAGTGCAATGGCAATCTGTTCTTGTTTTATTTCCTAATGTTTATATTAAAAAAATGAAAAACACATTTATCCACTCAATAAAGGTTTTTTATGCGAGGATAAATATTTCAGAACATTTTGTCAATATCTCAGTATACAATGTCATCCAAGGTAATTATGGTTATTTTAGATAAAAGTTATATAATGTAATCAATTACATTTGACTCATGTATATTCTCATGAAACTCATACACAATGCTAAGAATTAAAACTAGCATACAGAGCTCGAATTTGGGCAGTGAGTCACTACCCGTTCAAGAGTTATGCCTCTCTATAACTTGGAAAATTGAAAATTGTTTCGTTTCCGCACTTTTACTTAAGTCTGCCCCATTTAAAGTTAATAAACTCATACACAATGCTAAGAACAAAACTCGCAGAGAGAGAGTTCGAATTTGGACACTAAGTCACTTACCGTTCTAGAGTTATGGCCCTTTTTAACCTTGAAAATTCCTATTTTTTTTCGTTTCCCAAGTGTAACTTAAGTATGCCTTTCGCATATTTTATGAAACTCATATATCTTTCTCAGAACCAAAACAAGCAAGCTTGAGCTGGGGGCATTCGTGTCCTCAGACACATTTTTCTTTTCTTGTTTATCCTATGTTCAATTAAGTAATCATCCTAAAAGCTGCACTGCAAATGTTTCTCATTGTGTGTTTTACGACATATCGTATAGATAGGCAAAGATTTCTGTGCACTTAAATTGGTATAAACCTACCACATCTTGTGACCACGTCAGGCTATCTGAACTATGTGTTGTACGTTAAATTGGTATAAACCTACCACATCTTGTGACCACGTCAGGCTATCTGAACTATGTGTTGTACGTTAAATTGGTATAAACCTACCACATCTTGTGACCAAGTCAGGCTATCTGGACTATGTGTTGTACGTTAAATTGATATAAACTCACCATGTCTTGAACCAAGTCATGCTATCTAGACTATGTGTTGTACGTTATATTGGAATAACCATACCACATCTTGTGACCAAGTCAGGCTATATGGACCATGTGTTGTACGTTAAATTAGTATAAACCTACCACATCTTGTGACCAAGTCAGGCTATCTTGTCTATGTGTTGTTCTTTCTTGTTTATCTGTATGTGTTTGATTGATCGATTGTCGGTTACTCAACGTCCAGTAACAAATATTCATGTTCAGGACGAGAACAAATAAATAATAAGTACAATAGGTAGGCCCTGTAATAGAGGCCTTCCGGAATGAATGTCGGGGAAATTATGATGCGTACTTGTACATCTTGCACAGTCAAACGAATGTCCCAACTTTGGCAAGATTTTACCCCCGTTCAGAAGTAGACCACAGTCACCCTTAGGGATTACCTATGTGTGTATCCCAGATTTTTCGAAGATAAAGTTGTTAGTAGTTGATGGTTTGTTGTATTATATCGTAGTTTTTAAACTAGTAAACCATATCTCTGTTATCTCTTTATTTGTTTTATTTTATATTAATCCTGCAATCGACTTTTCTACTATACAAAAACAGGTAGACAGATAACATGAGGCAATACACATAAAGTATACATTTATATTCTCCTGGTATCCCGCTTCTGTAGTGAGCGACCAGTTATATTCAAATTACTGTTCACGTAACAGTTCAATTTTTGGTCCTCATCGTTGTCTGCGTTGCAGTCATGTTGATTACGTTAAAAAATCAAATCCAATGGTTGGGAAATAATAAAAAAAAACTAAACACTTAAGCGTTGATATTAAACTGCAGTATACAATCAATATACGCACATTGTAAGAAAATATAAAATATACTTGTACTCGGTAAGAAACCGGAGAAAAGCTCGGCGAGCCTGACTTTTCTCTCTGTTTCTAAAGCTGGTATAAATAAATTATATATTTTCCTACAACATGGAAATATTGTGTCTGTAATTTTTGCACTTTAAGATAAACTATGGTTCGGTTTATAAAGATAGTAGAAGCACCGGTGTCTGTTTTTTTTCCCCTATTTTGTGTATAACTGAATAAATCATTGATGAGTTGATTTTTGTTCTGATTTGCATTAAGTTGAAAATAGTCTTTGTATATTCTTACATGTATATATCGATCGAGAGCATGCTTTTCCTTCATGATTTTTTTTAAAGAGGATTGCTGGGTAAAGAGAAGCTATTGAACCCAGTGTTACAAGTGGTAAAGAGGAAAACATCCCTTCAAAAATATTACGGACGCAGTCATGAGTTGTCTGACAGATGACTACGGGTATGTTTTTATGGTCGTAATGACAACCGTCCTCTTTTCCTTATATGTGACCTAACGAATTAGATTTTTCAACGAGTGTGTACCTACATGAGGTACACGACGGGTGTCACTAGAAGAGCAGGTTCTGCTTACCTTTTCTAGAGCACCTAAGATCCTCGCCGATTTTCGGTTGGTACTTGTTGCTCAGTCTTTAGTTTTCTATGTTGTGTTTTGTGAAATGTAGTTTGTGTTTAGTTTTCCATGTTGTGTTTTGTGAAATGTTGTTTGTCTTTAGTTTTCTATGTTGTGTTTTGTGAAATGTTGTTTGCATTTTGGTCGTGTTGCGTGTTTTGCCATGGTGTTGACAGCTCGTTTGAATATACCTTTGATATATTCCGCCTCTCCTGTAGGGAGATTGAATAATCCTCTTAACAACTCAGCGAAGTGTCCGCTGGAATCCTGTTGCAAGGCAAGATTTACACCCCTTATTTGAAAATTCGAATTCCTTGGGGCAGTCGAAATTTCCTAATCTGCTAGAAAATTCGACCTCTAAATGCAACAAATATGTTGTCAAGGACAAACTCCAGCACTGATTTCTTGATCTTCGGTGTAGCATGTTTTATTTTTGGGTTCATTTTTAACAAAATATGCATAATTATATCCCAACACGATTGATTTGTAGCGTATTGTACCTTTTTGAATTGTGGAAAGCATTGTGGATTATTTCTTTAAGACAGGGTTTTAATGTTTCATGCGGTAAGGTGAGGTAAAGGGTGGACAAATTAAAGGTTTTAATAAAATTGGTTCAGAGAATGAGATTTTACATTTTCTAGAACTTCTTAAGAATCTAACTTAGACAAATTGACTAACATCTCAAACATTGACGAAGTAACTAACCCTTCCAAATGAAAATAAACTATTAATATGTGCGTTTGAAGCACTTTTCTGGATTCATTTTTATCAGATTCACTCAAACCCATACATGTGAAGGCCAAGGATCAGATCTTAACACATGAATAAATATATGACCAAAAGGGATCTAAAAATATAGCCAAAGTAATGTACGGTCAACTTTGTCTGAGGCAGTTGGAACCTTATTTTCTAAGTATTTTGTTGAAATTCATGTTAATTACGATGCGCTGACTACTGATTTGATGATATCCTCGGGGTATCGACCCAGTGATAGTAAAGGAAAATAGCATTATTAATTTGATTCGTCCGTAACGCATTTCTGGCTTTATGTTCATCAAGAACGCTGAAACCAAAACATATGGAAGTTCACTTAGACATTTCAACAATATTTTCCTTTTACCAATTTATACGATAAAAAAATTAAGGCTTGACTATCAAAATACTATAAAATACAAATATAAATTACATTTGAGTAAACTGGAATATACTGGACACAACAAATTAGTTTGTATTGTAAAGTCTACTTGATTGATGCCACGTTTAGCATAAATACATCTCAATCAAAGCAAAGTCAAGACTGAGGTTAAATTTGGATCATGACAAAAGAAACAATTTTTCTCTCTAAAAAAAATGATAAAATTGATACGGTTAATAGTAACATTTACAGATTAGAGATTAGATACATATTTTTGATATATAAACATTACATGAATTGGGATGAGTAATTCTAACGTTTTAATACATTTTATAATAAGTGATTATTAACATGAGCGTATAAATATTCCTAGAAATAAACGTCTATATCTTTATTATGATGACTTATAACCGTCATCAATCATATTTCTTTTCAAACGATCTTACGACATAAATTACTAAGTACATGGCAGTTGTCTTCCGTGTTGGATAGTAATCTATCGCATTGGATAATTGTTTTAATTTGCTATCTACTACTCCTTGTTAAGAATAATATTATTTACTGAGAAGCATTCAAAGATGATTTAAGAATATACATAACATGCATGGGAGACAACTTATATAAAATACAGTCTCATTAAAACTACATATAGGTTAACAACTTTGTTCACTTCATGTCTTGACGGGTAAATTCTATCCTCCATTGTTTTTACTGCACTTGACAGGGATTTTCTAATACGATGCGTCTTCCCTCTGGAAATATGAAAAGAACAACAGAACATAAAAAAAAATCGAATAAGTTCGATTCAATTTCAATAATTACTGTAATAATTATACAAACCGGAGGGTTAACCTTTAAATACATAAAAAGAAGATTAATTATAATTGTTGGTGTTTTACAAACAGACGTAAGTGTATAAGGACGACTTGGAAAAAGAATGCTCTTTGAACGGTTTTCAGTTTGAAATTAGACATACATTGGTTTACAATGTTATAACAAAAAAAAACTTTTCTTTGATATTCAAATGTTCATTATCGAATATTCAACATGACCAAAAATATCTTTAGTAGGCGAACAAATCACTGCTACTATGGTATCAAAATGTTAATTATGATTGTGAAATATCGATTATTACCCCGACATAACGGGTATCCTATCTACGGTCTATTGATAGTAAATGTCCGTACATTTCAATACCTGTTTTGTTTATGATTTGCCAGAACATTATCAAAATTAACTTCATTCTAATCGAATTCAGGCATAAAGTTTAATAGTGATGATTGAACACAATGTGTTATTCTTACCGTCATCAATTCGTGCTTCAACATCAGTTCTACACTTTGGACATACGTCAAAACGAACGCTACATTCAGCACACACAATTTTATGACCGCATGGACGGAAAGTTGCGTTGGCAACATTGTCGTTACATGAAATGCAAGGCAAAACTAGCAAGGCAGACAAAAGGGCCAAAAATGGATCACCTGCGGCTGTTGCTCCACTCTGACTTTTCCTTTGTTGCCTGAAACAATAAATAGAGGAGCAAATTGTTATAAATATAACTAGAGGCTCTAAAGAGCCTGTGTCGCTCACCTTGGTCTATGTGAATATTAAACAAAGGACGCAGATGGATTCATGACAAAATTGTGTTTTGGTGATGGTGATGTGTTTGTACATCTTATTTTACTGAACATTTTTCCTGCTTACAATTATCTCAATCTATAATTAACTTGGCCCAGTAGTTTCAGAGGAGAAGATTTTTGTAAAAGATTACTAAGATTTACGAAAAAATGGTTAAAAATTGACTATAAAGGGCAATAACTCCTAAAGGGGTCAACTGACAATTTCGGTCATGTTGACTTATTTGTAGATCTTACTTTGCCGACATTTATTGTTTTTTACAGTTTATCTCTATCTATAATAGTATTCAAGATAATAACCAAAAACAGCAAAATTACCTTAAAATTACCAATTCAGGGGCAGCAACCCAACAACGGGTTGTCCGGTTCATCTGAAAATTTCAGGGCAGATAGATCTTGACCTGATAAACAATTTTACTTCATGTCAGATTTGCTTTAAATGCTTTGGTTTTTTGAGTTAAAAGCCAAAAACTGAATTTTACCCCCATGTTCTATTTTTAGCCGTGGCGGCCCTCTTGGTTGGTTGACCAGATCACGCCACACATTTTTAAAACTAGATAACCAAATGATGATTGTGGCCAAGTTTGGTTTAATTTGGCCACGTAGTTTCAGAGGAGAAGATTTTTGTAAAAGATTACTAAGATTTACGAAAAATTGTTAAAAATTGACTATAAAGGGCAATAACTCCTAAAGGGGTCAACTGACCATTTCAGTCATGTTGACTTATTTGTTAATCTTACTTTGCTGAACATTATTGCTGTTTACAGTTTATCTCTATCTATAATAATATTCAAGATAATAACCAAAAACAGCAAAATTTCCTTAAAATTACCAATTCAGGGGCAGCAACCCAACAACAGGTTGTTCGATTCATCTGAAAATTTCAGGGCAGATAGATCTTGACCTGATAAACAATTTTACTTCATGTCAGATTTGCTCTAAATGCTTTGGTTTTTGAGTTATAAGCCAAAATTGCATTTTACCCCTATGTTTTATTTTTAGCTGTGGCGGCCATCTTGGTTGGTTGGCCGGGTCACGCCACACATTTTTTGAACTAGATACCCCAATGATGATTGTGGCCAAGTTTGGATTAATTTGGCCACGTAGTTTTAGAGGAGAAGATTTTTGTAAAAGATTACTAAGATTTACGAAAAATGGTTAAAAATTGACTATAAAGGGCAATTACTCCTAAAGGGGTCAACTGACCATTTCGGTTATATTGACGTATTTGTAAATCTTACTTTGCTGAACATTATTGCTGTTTACAGTTTATCTCTATCTATAATAATATTCAAGATAATAACCAAAAACAGCAAAATTTCCTTAAAATTACCAATTCAGGGGCAGCAACCCAATAACGAGTTGTCCGATTCATCTGAAAATTTCAGGGCAGATAGATCTTGACCTGATGAACAATTTTACCCCATGTCAGATTTGCTCTTAATGCTTTGGTTTTTGAGTTATAAGCCAAAAACTGCATTTTACCCCTATGTTCTATTTTTAGCCGTGGCGGCCATCTTGGTTGGTTGACCGGGTCATCGGACACATTTTTTTAACTTGATACCCCAATGATGATTGTGGCCAAGTTTGGTTAAATTTGGCCCAGTAGTTTCAGAGGAGAAGATTTTTGTAAAAGTTTACGGACGACGGACGACGGACGCAGGACGACGGACGACGGACGCAAAGTGATGAGAAAAGCTCACTTGACCTTTCAGGTCAGGTGAGCTAAAAATAAAGGAGATGTGGTATGATTGCCAATAAGACAAATATCCACCAAAGTTCAAATGAAGTGGATGTAAGCATTATAGGCAATTGTATGGTCTTAAACAATGAGAAAAACTCATACCGTTGATAGGCTATAAAAGACCCCGTTTTTTGTTAAAAAAAAATACGTCCTAAGATGGTGATATTGTCAGATTCAGAGAAATATTTGTTTAAATCAGAGATTTTCCTTGCAAAGTTTTATTTTCCTCTAACAAGTTATGTAAGTCTACGTTTGCTTTTATTCAATGAAACAAAGTTGGATTTTATTTTTTAATCTGTCATTAAATTTAAGATCGAGAATAGAATGTTTTTTTTTTTTATACTTATGCACATATAAACAAACTATATCGTTTGGCGCTTCAAATATTCACATCTGATTCATTGTTTCTAATTTTGTTAATTTGGTCATGCAGCTCTTCAACTGTTTCGTTTCTTATACATCATTAGCTTTCAAATATTCCACTTTGATCGTTCCTGATGGAGGATAATCCAGAAAAGCGCTTCGGATGCTTATAAAGAGTTGTTTTCATTTTTTGGAGCTGAATCTCCTTACCCTTTTGGAGCTCTCAGATCAGTCCCGGTGTTTGTGTAGTACGTTTTACTCAGTTTTCGTTGTTGTGTTTTGTAGACTGTCGTTTGTCATGGCTGAGGTAACACGATGTAGTAACTCTAAATAAATTATATATGATTATCAATGCGAAACGACCCATCACAGTCCAAATAACGTAGATTTAAGCAAAGCTTAAGCAATATACGGCCTTTAACAATGCGTAAAATTAAACCTGCAGTCACATATAAGAGACCATGATATAACAAAATGTAAAACAACATAAACAAAAACCAACGGCCTGATATATGACAAAATAATGCACGAAAATTAATATGACAGACAGCAACGAACATCAACAACTGAATTACATGCGCTTGACTTATATAGAATAAGGGGTTAAACATAGTATTGGGTGTTAAACCTTCCCCGAACAAGGGACAGTGGGGAAACAGCTCAACGTATTAACGAACTGTTAAAATCAGATTGAAATGGCTGATAACATTAATAATTTTCTCTTTTCAAGTGACAACATTTCATTATTATGCTTTTTTTTATTTTATATGTGTAACTGGTATTTATTTAGCCACTGAAGAACAATTATTTGTATATGGTCGCCTGTTATATAATAATGTACTTACATTCGCTTTATGAAGTTAAGAACTCCGTCCCGTACTCTCGGACTTTTGCATATTTGAAGGGGGTTTTCCCTGTATTATCTTTGATTGTAGTGTCTGCATCGTTGTCAATTAACAAACAGGCGATTTTCACCCGTTCGCTCTCGTCATTTGGTCGACTCAACATTAATCCTAACAGCTTCACAACAAAAATGTTATAATAATAATTATACCTTTATGCCAATTATGAATTAATTGATAATGTTCAAGTATGAAAAAGAATGTCCGCTTATTTTTAACCTCTAAATAAACAGATTACATTTTTGCGAATGTGGTTTTACTTTCTCTCTTTACTTCTACAAATTGTGATATTTAATGCTAACAGCTGTATGTTGGTAGAATGCTAAGTTTGGCGTCGAAAAATTAAAGATGAAATATGTCCTGTAGCACATAAGAAAGCAGTATTCCCCTCAGTCATTTTTCTTGCTTGCTTTTACTTAGGATACGTTGTCAAATGACAGCGTTATTTTTTTTGTGCCAAAGGAATTTTAGGAGTAATCTATGCAAGTGATTCCGATGATCAACAATACAGTTTCCAGTGCTCATGAGCTCCGTACTTTTGGCCTTTCAATTATTTTGATTCGATCGTAACTGTTGAGTCTTATGAAGACGAACTGCACGTTTGTCCTATCAAATTTCAGTCTTGGTATCTTTGTGATTTTGTACACCACGGGGCTGATTCCAGTACTGGTGGAATAACAGATGTTGGTGCTTGTGTGTTGACATATAACATCACCGATACCAACTGTACTGTATATAGAATGTTAAATTATTCGAACTTTCGGTATATATGACCCCTCCCATACTGGGAACTCTTGGTTTTCAATACTAGTACTTGAAGTTTGATAAATAAAAAGTAATACATTGATATAATTTACTAAGCGTCAAAGAAAACAGAATAACAGAAATACCAAGCTCCCAGGTAAATTCAATAAGGAAAAGTCCATTTAAACTAACAAAAACAAACGTTACACTTTATCAACTAATCATCATCAAAAATATCTTTAAAACATTTACTTTCAAATAAAATTAACACAAAAAACAAAAAAGGGATATCTTACACCTGGAAGTTTCTGTTGTTCAACACCAAGCGTGACGTGTAAAGGTGTATGCCCAGTATTACTCTTTGTGTTGACATCGGCATCTGGAAAAAAAAGTCTGATAAGTTTATACGAAAACAGGTTCAAAAGACTATGACAAGTATGAGAGACGGTATATTATAAGAAGTTAGTCTAATCTGATATCGCGTTGTGAGCGGTTTTTATTTACTACAGTATCGATGAAAATACTTCATAATAAAATCTGAGATAATTGTATTTATATGCTTCGTGCCGATCTAAGGGATTGTTCATTTGTTACTTGAAAGGGTGAGAAAATAAAGGGGCCTTGAAAAATTTTCAAAATGGTAAAAGGAGGGGGGGGTCCAGTTTTTTAATACTTCAAACGGGGGGTCGAAATTTGTTCACAAGATTTGAGCATTTCTGTATTTCAAACGTGCACAAATTATAGCAAATTTGATGAATGCATTAAATCAGTATCTAATTGACTCTTTATTCATAAGCGGTGTCTAACACTTGATTCAGATGTCATTTGTATCTATGTTGTGTCATCATTTCTGGCTTCAAACTTCATTTCAATATTTGTTTAATATAAGGCAATACCTTCTTCTGTTTGTTTTTCAGACATAAAGAACGAAAATATTAGGGAATGATGGTGTGCTGTTTTAGTTTTTGCATGTTTCCTGGAAGCTTTTCTAACTATACTCTTTTTCATATAATAAAAACACTTTTAATATTGATAGCTGTTCCCTTATATGATTAATTGTAAAACTCATGATTGACCAAATATATTATTATTTCAATGGTATATAAGATAATATTTGGGTGTCAAGCGTGGCATTTTCAACATGTCTTTACATGAGTAATTGTCCTTAATGACCTGGAGAAGCGTAATCAGGAACTCAAACCTTACGATTTCCCCTACAATAACACAAATGTAATATTTTGGCACGAACTGAATGTTATTTTTTTTTTGCGTCGCTCAACTCGACACATTTCTTACTATCCCAAATCCTAAGTTTCAACATGATCTTCCAGGAGAGTTTTTTTATCTGAAGCTAAAATGGTATTAATATGTTGTAAATGTCAATGAGACTATAACCGATATATTCAAATAAATTTCCCTGAATTCACAAGCAACTTACCCACTTGAAGCTCTGTATCTACTACTGATGCAATATCATATTGAATAATAATAATAATAATAATAATTTAATAGAAATTGTATGCAACTATTTTTTTGTCTTTAGATATGTTTTGATGGAAAGTTGTTATAATTGCACTGATACTATTTAACCCAAGGATTGACGTGGGTATATATGTATGGTCATCATTTGTCCTTTTTCAATCGGGTGTAACAAGATTTTAAGGTGGTGTGTCTGTTTGGCTATGCGCGATGGGTAAATTCGCAGCCATGCCTAATCAGAATGGGGACATTAAATCCAATTCTTCGTATAGAGAGTGTCATGCTCCCTGCACTTTAAGAACCCTTCAACCACTCTTTGAGGGTTCAGTGAATGGCCTTTTGGGAAGCTAAATGTATGTCCCTATCCAGTATAAACTCATTTTCTAGAGACATTCAAAATGTTCAGTTCTTCATCCCGGTCGACTCCCTTTTACAGAACCTTCCTCGATAGTATTGATTTTTAATTTTATCGTGTCCTAAACATGCATGCAATATTTGCCACTGGAGTTAATCAAACAAGCAATCAGTCAAAGCATTCATATCATATCTTTCATAGTGTATGCACCGTTAAGTAAGAGAGAAAAACTAGCGAGAGGATATAAAGGGACAATAAAAAAAACATATCCAATAATAACTCACATCACCATGGTCAAAAATAAAAAAAGCAACGAATAAACAAACAACATGAAAAAACGAAAACTAACCAAACGAACACAATCAAAAACAGGGGATGAAGTTATGCTATCCGGATGCTTTGCATCAAATCATTTACAATTGCACATTAATAAAAAAAAATCAAAGATGGAACTAAACTGACAACGCCATGGCTAAAAAAAAAAAAAAGACCAACAGACAAATAATAGTACACAAAACACAACATAGTAAATCGATTAAGAAGAGACAAATCAATGTTGCACAAAAATTGAAGGAATCACATAAATTCTTTAAAGAGCGAGACCGGATGCATATTTATGGGTAGCGTCTCCCTCCTTAGATTCATCACATGTTGCGCGAGTTAATACTTAATCAACATTTTACAATCGGAAGTATAACACAATAGGCTGACCTACAGAACATACGACTATACAGGTATCTAAAAAGATCCTTTTCTTTTCAATTTTTGAATCTCCTGCAAGAATTAAGAATGATATAATTCGTGTTATACTTTAAAGCGAAAAAAGAAATTAAAACACCGTTCAACAGGAGAATACCCATTTCTAACATAAAAGACTTGTGGGAACAATGATTAAGTACCGAATAAAAATCACATCAACTCAACACCAGCAGAGAAAGAGCTTTAATACACGTGTCAGTTAAGGAATAGAGTAAAGATGTCAACTATAAGAGTCCTTTTAAGGTATATTTGATAATGTATTTGTCAGTGCAAACTTTAGAGATATATTATTTATTTAAATGATTGGTGCTTAAAGAAAAATACACACTTACCGTTTTCGATTAGCAGCTCAACCATTTCAAAATATGCTTCATGACATGCAACGTGAAGAGGAGTTAAGCCTCCTTCATTCTTAAGATTAATGTCTGTGTCACCCTAAAGCATTTTCAAAAAAGAACTACTTAAATAGAAACGAAAAAAAAAACAATATCTTCATTTCTGATGTTTCAATCAGTCAGACTTGTTTTTAGGTACAAATGTATATCATTTTTCTCTATGTATAGTTGCTGTTGTTTTACAAGAAAATAACATCTTAAAGAATTTTAAAATGCTTGATTCAAATGATACATTTTTACTTCAGAAACAATAATAACAGTAACTACAACAGACACATCTAGTATATGTTAATCTCCTTGGTTGATATTTAGTACGAGCTTTTTCGAAAACATAACTTTACCTTTGTTAAAAGAGTTTCTGCAACATCTTGATGATCATTGATAGCAGCAACATGCAGGACCGAAAATCCATCTTTTTCGTAGTTTTAGAGAGCTCTGGGGATTTTTCTAACAGTTTTTCTGTCGCACTTCAAGATAAAATTTTGCATAAAAGGTAATTCAATTATTTTTTAATTGCAGTTACTCTTAAGTTAATAAGGCCTACTTCCTTAAAAGAGAGATTGACAGCTGATACGTTTACATGTAGGTACCCTTCACACATACTTGATTGATTACCAAATCTAAAAACGCAAAACTGTTCAATCAGGAGGAATTCAAACTGAAATCAACATTACACAAGTTTGATTGACACAATCATAAATATTTGTAGAATAGCTAAGTTCGTCTATCTTTACTCTGTGTGGGGGATTTGCAATCTAAGTTTATAGCACATATACACTATTTTATGTAACTTGACATTTGCAAACAATATTTATTATATTTAAAATTCCAGTACTGAAGGACTGTGTCCTGTGATCATGAGATTCCATTGGTCTGGTAGTCAACCAGCAGCGGCACAGTGATTTTTCAGGGCCTATTTATTTGAGAATCTTTTTTACGACTTAAACCCTCTGTTGTCATAAGTGTGGGATTATTAAGACGAACATTTGTGTATGGATAAATACATTATTGAGATTCCAACTCAAGTTCAATTAAACCAAGCGATTAGTTTCAGTTTCCTAATCTTGATTTATAGTATTGTCAGAAGTTTATTTTTAAACACCATAAAACCAATAAGAGATAAAACTTAACATTTTAGTACATACTTATCATTTCCCTTGAATGCAGCAAAAATTAGTAGATTAAAATCCTTGTTGTTACGAAGTGTCAGATTGATTGATGGAATAGCAAGTAATAATTCTACTGCTTTGTCGTTTCCTGCTGCAATTGCATCATCAATTGGTGTGTCACCTTCGACATCTTAAATGTCAAATAGCATGAATAAAAAAATTATGGAACGTCTTCAATTTAAAAAATACATGTAATTACTATATTTATGCGGATAAATTTCTCATTTAACGTATTGTTAATTTATCATTTTCACTGTTGAAATGCCAAAATCAAAGTTTTACTAGTGTTAAGAACTGTTTGATGTTTTTTTTTGTAGAAATTGTAGGTCCACAATGCTCTTCAGCTTCGTACATTAGAGAAGTAAAGAGTTTACAAGGATTTTAATTTGCTATAAAATTTAGGTCGCGTAAACCCGTTTCTCATACAACAACTTACAAGTACATTACAACTTCTAAATAAGTTTTATATACTGATATCCATTAAAGAATTAAATAACCGTTAAAACACAAACCTAATTAAAGAGGACAGGTTTATAATTTGATATGCAAGACACGCGTTTCGTCTTCACACGACTCATCAGTGGCAGAAAAGGAGAGACGAAAGATACCAAAGGGACATTCAAACTCATAAGACGAAAATAAACTGACAGCGACATGGCTGAAAAAAAGACAAACAGACAAACGATAGTACACAAATAAAGGCAACAGTAGTATACCGCTGTTCGAAATTCATAAATCGATTGAGAAAAAACAAATCCGGGTTACAAACTAAAACTGAAGGAAACACATCAAATATAAGAGGATAACAAAGACACAACAGAAACACTAAAATGCAACACACACAGAAACGAACTATAAGATACCAATAACCATTTTCCTGACTTGGTACAGGACATTTTAAGAAAAAAATGTGGGTTGAACCTGGTTTTGTGGCTAGCCAAACCTCCCGCTTTAACGGAAATGTTGAATTTAACACTAAAATGATAACATAACATGACAGGACTACAATACAAATAAATGGAAGAACACAACATAGAAAAAAATAAGACTGAGCAACACGATCCCCACTAAAACTGGGGGTGATTTCAGGTGCTCCGAAAGGGTAAACAGATCCTGCTCCAATATGTGGCACCCGTGACCTTTACATCAAAATAGTTGAAAGGCCAAACTAAACACGAACAGCATAAAAAAAACAAAAATCGAAAACATAGCGCCAAATACGAGTAAGACAATCTATGACTGGGTAAGAAATCTAAGTAACTAAACGACAATAAACATATCCATGATATTTCAAGTGATAAAAAACTATTGACTACTGAGCTGATGATATCCTCAGTGTCGAAACGTTTTCCCGCAAAACAGAAAGAAATACGAAATGATGCAATACCTCTTTTTACGAAAATACCAGAGTGGCAAACACAATCCTAATTGGTAAAGAAAATAAACACACCTCTGCTAAACCAAACGATAAATAATCAATACCGCATAAATTAAGCTACCGGTACACAAATTAACTGGTTATGGCATTGTATGCCCATAAATCAACATATGTCGGGTGAGTTATAACTAGGTTTTTGATTTGAAGAAATAGAGTATTCAAAACAAACCAATGAAAGTGTAGACTAACCTGCAGATTAGGGTTAATACCCTTTTGTAAGGTAGCTTTTAGAAGCTCGTTCATTCCAAAGTAACTTGCATGGTGAGCGACAGTGCGATAATGTCTCCCTATTACTTTGACAGATGCTCTTCTCTGCAGTAAATATAACGCAATTGCTTCTTTTTTCCTGAAATGATTATTGTAAGCTTTATCAAAATCACGACAGTTCTGTTCAGTATATGTAGATTTGGTTTGAAAATTGCTTGAATTGGCTGTTGCTTTTAAATGTTTAATTGAAGTGAACTGATCCAACTTATATTTGAATATGTAAAACTAATACATACGCTTAATTATATATGGAAAAGGTTGATTGTTTTTGCTGTTGGATCCTAAAACTTACTCCTTACAAATATATTAGATGAGATGAAGTAAATGTCTTTGTTGTCGGAGTTTAAGAAGAGTTTTCTTTGTAAATTTTAGCATTAGATTTACTGTATGCTATTCTCTGCCAAGATACCTCATTAATATATCACGTTTTCATATTTGTTAGCACAATTGTAGTCCTCTATCTCTTGGTAAAGTATAGCACACTGATGCATGGATTAGTGTGAAAATTCAAATTGTGGGTTAATTGACATCTAATAATTGTTTATCAGTATTAATGCATACCCTGCTGCAGCTATGATGAGCGTCGTATAAGCATTTATACATACCCGGCTGCAGCTATGAGGAGCGCTGTATTACTCTCCTCGGAAAGAGTTTCCAAGTTTGCTCCGTTGTCTAATAATAGCTTGACTATAGACAAGTGTCCTCCATGACTTGCAAACATCAAAGGTGTCAGTTCTTTGAACTTGCAGTTAACCTTTAAATGTGTTAACATATTCATATGATCTAATTTCAATTCAATTATTATGCTGTATTTTTTTATTTGTAGTAAATCAGTTGTCGACTAGGCTATAACTGTTTATAGTTTCTGTAATTAGAATATAAATATCCATAACCTGTTAATTATTTTGCATTGTAACAAGCAAATGTGTAAACGTGTAAAAAAAAAATACAAATATAATTTCGGTGGGCGTCAAACAGCCGTTAAAGTATAGCAAAAACTGTAATTCAACTTTGCTCAAAAAGTGCTACTACTAAATTTCTTAGTTAAGCATATTGCGAAAATAGCATTTTTGTGTGGCGTTGAGATGTCTCAATAAAGAATAGACAAACAAGTCATTTTCCTCAATTTTAAAAAAAGACCGACAGGAATTTACGTCTTATCATTATTCTTGTGAATCCGACAAATTAAATTCACAAAACTCTGTAATTAAATGGAATATTTTCCAAAGACGATATAGAGCAGGTTTTTTTTTGGCTGGACGGTAAATTTTCACTTATATATCGATGTAATACAGTTCTATGCAAAGCACAAAAATGTCGTCATTCACCTCAAAAGCTAACCAAACCTTCAAACAGACTTATTCAGAAGGGATATAGTCACGATACTGTTGTCAGGACATTAAAGATGGCATATTTTGGAATTAATATTAATTCACTCATAGGGTCTTTGCATCGGAAATAAACACATGTATTCTAAAACCAGCATGATACGGGTTATGTTCTTCTCATATATTTTATGATGTTATGATACTTAATCCTTAACGGGAGGGATTGTGCTTGATCTTCATATGGTGAAGACGTAATCTTTTAATCAGTTAAATTGAGGTCTGGAGCTGGCATGTCAGTAACTGCTAGTCGTCCTTTGTTAATTTATGTATCATTGTCATTTTGCTTAGTTTCTTCTATTTCCTATTCTAACATCGGACTCGGTCTTCTTTTAAACTGAGCTTTACTATGTGTATTTCTGTGTGTTTGTTTATTCTACATTGGCTTGAGGTATAGGGGAGGGTTGAAATCTCACAAAACATGTTTAACCCCGCCGCATGTTGCGCCTGTCCCAAGTCTGGAACCTCTGGCCTTTGTTAGTCTTTTTTTTTATTTTAGTTCATTTATATGTTTCGGAGTTTAGTGTGACGTCCATTTTCTCTGAACTAGTACACATTATTGTTTATGAGCCAGCTGAAGCCCGCCTCCGGGCGCGGGATTTTTTCTCTGTGTTGAAGACCCATTGGTGGCCTTGGGCTGTTTTCTAATCTTTGGTCGGATTGTTGTCTCTTTGACACATGTGGAGCAGGATCTGCTTTCCCTTCCGGAGCACCTGAGATCACCCCCAATTTTTGGTGGGGTTCGTGTTGCGTAGTCTTTAGTTTTCAATGTTGTGTCTTGTGTACTATTATTTGTCTGTTTGTATTTTTATTTTTTAGCCATGGCGTTGTCAGTTTATTTTCGATCTATGAGTTTGACTGTCCCTCTGGTATCTTTCGCCCCTCTTTTTTGACACATTCCCCATTTCCATTCTCAATTTTAATTAATTGTTTCTAAATAAGAAAGTCAAATTCATATTTATTCGCAAATCAGTCGTTTCTTGTTTTATTGAATCTAGTGTTATGCTAGACATGTTTTGCTTTATTTCAGTACAGTAAATTATAAGAGTTGTCACTACAGGGGAAGTAAGCATTAATTATATTGAAAAAAATATTAAGTTGAATTTAATATGCACCACCTTCCGTTTATTATTTGGTGTTACAAGGACTATATTACATCTTATGTTTTGTACTTATTTAATTTTGTCGTCATTGTGTTGTCTGTCTATTTGTTTCAGTTTATTTTCATTGAATGGAACTATTACCAAATCTTTCTTCAGTTTGATATATTGCTGAACAGAAACTACATCGCCTTTTACTACAGCTTGCACTATCTGCTCAGGTCCAATAGTTTGCATCATTTGTTGATGACCCAGGATTACCATGTGTGCAATAAGTCTGGCAAGGCTGTCGGATAAGTCATTTCTTGTACTTTCTATTATAAGCAAAGGTTTAGTCAGTTATTAAAACCATAGAAATAATACTACTAAAATGAAAGGAAAGTTACAGTTACACACCTCATTTTCTAATAAGACGAACTAACCATACTTGTTTAGAGCTAACCACATATATATTCTTACATTATCAAACTGTTAGAAATAAATTTAATTGCCTGTAAATTGTTAAGTCAACCACCTCATTCCACAGATAAACTACTTCAAACTAAATTTTATGTCGAACATGATGATTTCAACTTCCCAATCTACAAGTTTCCATTTCAAAGCAGTTACATACCCTCTATCGAATAATATATCATTTGATACGTTAATCTCATGCATGTTTACTTCATACACAAAGTTCATTAGCAAGGATGTGTTCTTAACACAAAAAACCGATCAAAAAGAGTTATGAGAAAGAACGACAAAATCGACACATGTTTTACTGTCATCATAACGAATAAGGCAACTGAACCATATATGTGTCTAAACACACAACCAGTCTTAAATCTTAATCTATAAGAGAAGTCCTATAATCTGCAATGTTTCGATTTTGTCCTATTTCTGATTGGGAATTCTTGACGGAGTGTGGATT